TACTGCAAAAACCATAGCTTTGACTAGATGGACCTTTGTTGTCAAAGTAATGTCTGCTTTTTAATATGCTGTCTAGGTTGGTCATAACTTTTCTTCCAAGGAGCAAGCATCTTTTAATTTTATGGCTGCAGTCAGCATCTGCAGTGATTTTGGAGCCCAAAAATATAAAGTCTGTCACTGATTCTACTGTTTTCCCATCTATTTCCCATGAAGTAATGGGAAATAAGTAATGGGAAGTAACTGGATGCCAGGATCTTAGTTTTCTGAATGTTGAGCTTTAAGCCAACTTTTTCACTCTCCTCTTTCACTTTCATCATGAGGCTCTTTAGTTCTTCTTTGCTTTCTGCTGTAAGGGTGGTGTCATCTGCATATCTGAGTTATTGATATTTCTCCTGACAGTCTTGATTCCAGCTTGTGCTGCCTCCAGCCCAGCGTTTCTCATGATGTACTCTGCATATAAGTTCAGTAAGCAGGGTGACAATATACAGCTTTGATGTACTCCTTTCCCTATTCAGAACTAGGCTGTTGTTCCATGTCCAGTTCTAACTGTTGCTTCCTGACCTGCATATAGATTTCTCAAGAGGCAGGTCAGGTGGTCTGGTATGCCCATTTCTTGAAGAATTTTCCACAGTTTGTTGTGATCCTCACAGTCAAAGGTTTTGGCATAATCAATAAAGCAAAAGCAGATGTTTTTCTGAAACTCTCTTGCTTTTTCGATGATTCCAGTGGATGTTGGCAGTTTGATCCCCAAACTTCTGGATAAAATCCATAGCTTTGTTTTAGCATTTATACACCTGTCAGTCTCTGTTCCACTCCCACCTTTTGTGAACAGTCAGCGTAGGTGTCACCTCTGCAGTGGTGTGCTCCCCAGCCTCGTCCTCCCTGCCTCACCTGAGTCTCTGTCCCTGGTTTACTCTGTGTAGGCCCTGAGAGGGCATTCCCACTGTGTTTTTATTACCTATTTGTGTAATTCTGACCTCTGGCCTTTCAGCTCATCTTGGACAAAGCCCTACTTTCTAACTTTAACTTGGGGCAACCAGTATGTTGTTTCACATTGAGTTGCTGTTTGCCTAGAATGTCACTCTTAACAAAGTCATATGGTTAACCTGACCAGGGAATGTAATATTTAATAAGCCTGTGTGGGATGAGGGTAGGCAGGCTACTTGGGAAAAATTACAGTAGGCAAAGTTATGATGTAGATTGTCATCTTTGGGCTCTTTCATTATCTTTGTTAGTTTGTATTGTAAGTAATATATACAAATGCATTGTATATAGTTCATTCGATTTTTTATTCCCTCAGCTCTGCTAGATTACAACACTGAATTCTGTATAGGGTGCCCAATTTTCACCTAACTTGATCATATGCTAATGACTTGAAAAAGCAGAAGCAACACTGCTTTTAATTGAAATACCAAAACAGAGTAGCATTGAAATTTATCATTGCATAGATTGGCTGGTTTTTCTGGTTTGTTTTTTTGTCACTCTGGCTTTTGGGTGCATTTGACCACTACTTTGTACTACTGTTCAGGGATTCTTCCCCTGTGCTAATTTTCTCAGTGGGCTTTTTCCTCTCTGACATGCCCTGACTTTCAAGGCAACTGCACCATGACTAGCTCACCTCATGTTCACCATGAAGAGCAGATGTCAAAAACCTTAAAAAAAAATTATATATATATCACCCAGTAATTTTTCCTCCCTGTAAGATTAAATCGATGGGATGGTCATATAATCCATAAGTTATATGAATCTGTATAATTTTTAAAAAGAATATAATAAAATACATGTAAGTGAATGAATATCTTTCTGACTCCATACATTCCATGTGCAGTTAAACATGGAATTTGTGTCTCATTTTCTCTCCAGCTTGCCTGCATGTAGCCTGTGTTGTACAGCAGAAAGATGCCAGACAGTGGTTTGCTGAGCTTTCTGTGGATATGGAGAAGGTAATCTTTAGAATTCCCTTAAGTGAATATAAACTTGAACATTTTGAAGTTAATGTCATATGTATTTACCATGTGCCTAAAATTTCATGATGTCAGCCAGGCTATGAGTACTTTTTGGTTTTAAAAAAAAATGTTAAGAAATATGTTGGCAAGAAGAATTAGTTTTGACCATTTAGGTTATGTTTCTCTTCAGTTTAGGATCACATAGAATGGTAAACTTAAGAGGCTGACTGGTTGCAAAGCAGCCTCTAATTGCCAAAATTATTTTAAAAGCTGCCTGGTGACTCCTGTAACACTACTGTAAGCTCCATTAACACAGCCTATCTCCTAACAATGGATTGTTGCCCTTTGTTCTACCTTTTTTCCCTGAAATGTTCTAGAATCAGTCCAAGGATAGATTTACTCAGAGGAAAAAGAAAGATCTAATTTGGAAACTGGACTTGATAGATTTGTAGCTGCTGGTTTTTGAGCACCTTAACTCATGTGTAGAGTAGTTAGTAGAGAATCAAAACAAAGGTTTCTGTGCACTACCTCTCATTAAATTGTTTGAAGCAGTGGTTTTAGACGCGTGTACGGGCTTCCCGGGTGGCTCAGTGGTAAGGAATCTGCCTGCCAGTGCAGGATCCCTGGGTCAGGGAGATCCCCTGGAGGAGGAAATGGCAACCCACTCCAGTATTCTTGCCTGGAGAATCCCATGGACAGAGGAGCCTGGCAGGTTACAGTCCACTGGGTGGCAAAGAGTTGGATATGACTGGGAATACACACGCTCTATAGTGGTATTCTCTTTCATGATTTAGACTTTTGTTCCTAGTACCTCACTGTTTTGTTTTGGTTTAAGATATCAGTAGATAGAAGGAAACCAACTGCAGAGATGGATAAGGATAGGACTAGCATACATGTGCTTTCACATTTACTGGGATTGACTAACCTAATCTGAAGGATAGAGACTATCTTTTCACTGTTTCCTAAATGATGTCTAGAATGCAATGTGTGTTCTTTATATACCATATGGTGCTTGATATTGCCTCTGAGAACTTTTCAAATATTTTCTTCTAGATTTTGGAAATAATCAGGGTTATTTTAAAACTGTATGAGCAGTGGAAAAATTTTGATGAGAGAAAAGAGATGGCAACTATTCTTAGTAAAATGCCGAAACCAAAACCTCCTCCAAACAGGTACTTTGTAGACTTTAATTGTTGATTTTATTTAATTATATATTTCATAGGCATTATCATATTTTTAATAGATTATGCTATTTTGTTTTTATAAAATGTCTTCTAAAACTTCTGATACATGTTTTTTTGTGACTTAATATTTTAAAGACATCTCATTTTTAAAACTACATTAATCTGATCATCTGTTAAGTAACTTCTCCTGATATAATGGCAGGTCTATTACAGGTATCCCTCAACATATGGCTGTATACTGTACATAAGTTTAAACAGAACAGGGATAGGCAAGTCCATCTAAAATTCAGGGATAAAGAATTTTGTAGTAGTTCATGTCAGTTTCACTCTGTGCCATCTTTTTCTCCCCAGTACTAGCTGTTACCCTGTTGATAAAGTTCAGTATCATTTTTCAAAAACTTAGATGATTGATCTGATACTGTAAAGATAAATAATTTTGACTTTCAAGTGACTCAGATCCATTGCACATAATGACATAATTTTGCTAAGTATGAGTTACTTGTGCTAAAAGGGTTTTTTTGTTGTGGGGTGTTTTAAGTGTTTTATTGTTTTTTAATGGGATCTATTCATTTAAGTTCAGTGGTTCTCAGCTGTCAATGTACATCAGTTCATTTCATTTAGGGGAAAAAGATCAGAAGGGAAACTACCCATCTTAATCATTTATCAAGAAAAATAAATAAGTTATATAACATTAAGACTGATTTGTAGATCTGGTATGTTAAGGTTACTATTTGGAAAAATTAATACTTTTACAAGGAGCTGTTTAAAGCAGTCATTCAAACAGCTACCTTTGGATGCATTTTTTGCAGAAATTCCCTGAGTGATTCTTCACTAGTTGCAGGGCCTGAAGCTGCAAGATGCTGATGGACAAGATAAGGCAATTATCCTATTGCCACAGTTACTGGTATTTTCAGTTTCAGTGTTTAAATATTCAGTGCTTTTCAGGAAATTACCATATTTCTGATTTTTAAAGGTTTGCTGTATTCACATATGGTTTTATTATGCCTTTGGACAATAATTTTTTGGAAGAACACTTCTTGATTTTCATTATTAGTAGGAATAAGATTTTCCATGTATAATTTAATAGGAAATTTGTCTAGAACAATCTCTATGTTGAGTGATACCTGTAATGACAACAAAATACCCTAATTGAAATTTTTGAGTGTATATGGACACTAACTTCCAGAATGCTTGCTATATGTGTGAGGGCACCAAGTTACATAAGAATAAAAACATAAAACCAAATGTAGTCTTCTGGACTTTAATTTTTCCACATCTGTATCTTACAATTGGAAATGTCTTTGTTTTGTAGAGCTATAGCAACGAATAACCTTAAAACTTAGTAGGCTTACTAGGGTGTTGAAAATGAGTCTTTTAATTGGTGTAAAATCTCTTTCTTCCCCACTTGAACAGTGAAGGAGAGCAGGGTCCAAATGGAAGTCAGAACTCTAGCTACAGCCAATCTTAAAACATTCCGAAGAATTTCATAGTGGACCAGTTGGAAATAAACCATTGGACAGATTTCAGTAATGTCTTCAATGGAACACAAATGAAAATGAATAGCTTGTTTCTGTCAAGCATATTGGGAAGTGATTTTATTTTTGCAAAATGTTTTCTTTACTTAATTTGATTCTAATACATAATTGTTTAAAATCTATTGTTTATGAAAGTTTGGAAAGGTTCTAAGAGAACCTACAGACAGACATTACAGAGACTTTTGAAAATAGCTTCTGATTAGTAAAATTTTTCTTAATTTGGATAATAGAAATTTTAGCTTTTTTATTAAGCCAGAAAACATGAAACATAATTTGTTTAAAATTCTCTTTGGTCACTGAATGACCAAAAAAGGAAATAAGTCAAATATATGGGGGTCTTTTTTTTTTCTCCTTAAGTTAAACTTTAAAATTGTATTTAAGGAATCAAATCTTACAAAATCCTGGAAGGTTTTGGTGATGATGATGATGATTTCAGGGAAATGAATCAATTACCTATGATTTTAAAGTGTATTTTATTCAGTAGTTTTGGTATCTTGCCATGGAGGATACTAGCCCAGCCTAGCAGAAAAGTGCAATATGTACAGCATACTTTGACATTTTAAAAGTTATACTCCATAACCATTTTGAAATGCTGGGCAAACATTTTAAAAAATTGCATTTAATTCAGTTAATCAGGCATTTTGAATGCTAATTGGATGGAAACTGTAATATGGTTGAAATTTGTTAACATTTTTGTTATTTTTACTGTGAAGTTTTTATATGACGTACACACCCTAGTTTATTTTTGTGTCTTAGTGTGGACTACAGATTTACTACAGGAATCCTGAGCCAGGAACACAGTCAGGTTTCAGGCCAGTTAGATACTGGCTGTTCTTAATTCTCATCTGAGTGTAGGACTTCAGACTAAATGTTATGTCAGTGGGACTTTGCTGTCTGTAGAAGTTACTAAATTACATGATCATTTTCTTCAGACTTGAAGGAGAGTGATAAAATTTGGAGTCATAGGATATTGATGTACAATTTAAGGATTAAATTTTTTTATAATTCAATTGTGAATAATGGATTATTAAATGTTGACTTCCTAGTGTAAAACTACAAAAATAAAAATACATTCTCCAGCTATATTGACTGGTGTCTTGAATTTATCTTTTTTGAATCTTCTTTCTGTTGTTTTTGGAGTCTTTCTTCCTTTGGATAAGTATTAAAGCCTTCTATAGTTTATCAAGTAGTAATTTCATATTGTTTATAAACAGACCTTTAGAGTTCTGCTTTCTTGTGGAGAGTATCACATAAGCTGGAAAGAGATTATGAAGTCAGTACCATTGACAAACATTGGTCTCCTAGGATTATGAAATAAGAAAAAAAAAGCTCTCCTCAGGTCTGAAGGAATTAAGATTGGGCTTGGGTTGGAAGGGCAGAATGATTATATATATCACAGTCATTGACTTAACCCTATTTTTTTTTTTAACCCTACCTATATTTCTAAAAATTTTTTATTTTGAAAATATATATGCCTGGTACTTTTATTTTCAACTTGTTAAGGAGAAAATGTAAAAAACATACAAGAGTAGATAAAATGTTACAATGAGCCTCCTTAATACCTGTCAACTCATGGCCAGTTTCATTTTAAACTCCCACCACTTCCTCCAATATGCATATTATTTTGAAGCAAATCCAAGATGTTTTGTCCATAATTATCTTAGTATATAATCCTAAGAGTAAAATACCTGGAAAAGAATTTGTCAAAATAGTTTTGTAATAAATGTCTAGTGTTTATATTTTTAGTTATTTCAATATCATAAAAATTATTAAATAATTCTACTTAGGATTTAAATATAGACCACATGTGTAATTCATTGATAAATCTTTTAAAATTCTTGGATTCCTCCTTTATTTCATTTCAGAAGTTCCCCATTTTGGTTTGCTTGTTCACTAAGAATTTCCCACCATATGTACTTTGCTGATTGTATCTTTGAGATGCTACTTAATATGTTCTTTTCTCTGAATTTCTATATATTGGTAATGGAATGCAAAAGATTGATCAGGTTCAGGCTCAATTTTTCTTTTTCCTTTATAGACTACTGTATAAAGTATTGATATTTTCCCTCAGGAGGCATATAGTGGCTGGTTGTCTCTTCCTTTATTTAGCAGCCATTGAGGATGTGTATTGTTTTTAAAAAATTAAATATTTCCACAGGCTGCATTATTTAATAAGACAGCTGCTAGCCACGTGTGGCTACTGAACACTCAAAATGCGGCTAGTCTGAATTGAAATGTGCTATATATGTTGAATTTTAATACTTGGTACAAAAGAATGTAAGATACTAAATTTGTTTATAATGATTCTATGTTTTAAATGATTTTTTAGATACCTAGGAGTAAATAAAAATTACTAAAATTAATTTCACCTCTTTTACCTTTTTAAATGTAAGCAAATTAAAAATCACATAATGGCTTGCATCATAATTCTTTTGGACAGTGTTGCTATAAGACATAAGGAAAATGTCAGATCCAGTTCCATTTTCTCTGCTTTTTATTCCTGCTCTCAGAGCAACTTTTAGTCATTTCTTTGCTGTTGTGTTACTTCCATGTTTTCAAGTAACATGCTGATCACATTGAGCACGCACTTACTATGTAATGAGTATATTCTAAGCTCTCTACCTTATGAAGTCATTTAATTCTCAGGCAGTCATTTCAGAGATGTTCTTGTCCTCAGGGACAGAAAGTGAAGTAACTTACCCAATCACAAGTCAAGAGCTTGGATTTAGTTTAGTTCAGTTCAGTTGCTCAGTCATGTCCAACTCTTTGTGACCCCATGGACTGCAGCACGCCAGGCCTCCCTGTTCATTGCCACTCCCGGAGTTTACTCAAACTCGTGTCCATTGAGTTGGTGATGCCATCCAGCTATCTCATCCTCTGAACTTTCATCAAGAGGCTCTTTAGTTCTTTGCTTTCTGCCAGAAGGGTGGTATCATCTGCATATCTGAAGTTATTGATATTTCTCCTGACAGGCTTGGATTAGATTTTTATTAAAATCTGGGCAGTGGACTCCAAGGCCCAGGCTCTTAAACACTTTACTGCCGCCTCTGCTTACCCTCCAGTTAGTTTCTTTTAATTTTTTTCAGTTGTAAATATCATCGCAACTTCCTACTATTGAAGATGAAGATTTTACTTTCTCACATACTTGCTATTCTCCATTCCAACTCCCATCCACCCCACCACCACCCTGCCCCCACACTCATTCTACCCTGGGACTTTTACTCCCATCATCCTCCCAGGTTAATTGCATAATTGTTGTTAAACTTATATTCAGTATATATTAAGTATACACAGATAATTTTGTGTTCTGTAGTATTTCCTTTCTATTTGACTATGTTTTGCCTTCTGGAAGTAGGGATATTAACTAGAAGCCTGGTGTATTTACCTGTTCCTTGCTGGGTCCAGTATTTCAATGGCAGTTCACTCTCTATAGCTTTTCTTCTGTGTGAACTTGTGGCTCTTAATTCCTCAGTTTCTTAATATATATGCCCTAGTAATATTTGTTTATATAAATATAATTCACTTAAAGGCAGCAAGGATTTGAAGAGTCACGATCTGGGGAGAAGGAAAGCTGAGGAGGAAGAGCCAACATTGAAAAGTGTATCTGTGTATGTGTCTATTACCTGTATTTTCCATCTTTTCTAGCTCTTGTAGGGAGTCTGATCTGCTAGAAACTAGACTGATATGTCAGAAATAGAAGTTCAAGGTGATAACATCACATCTCTACCCCAGATTCTCCAATAGCTTAATAAATCATTTAGGACAAAAACCAGGTCCTTAGAGTTTACTTGCCAGGCCTTACATATTCTGAGTGACTGTATAAATGAGACTAAAAATAGATGGGTCTGAAGAGACAGAAGAGAGCACAGATTTGTTTTACCACTCACCAGTATATGAACAAGTACAGGACTTAACATTCTAAAGCAATGTACTCATGCTAGTGGGAATCATTTGTATTTAAACTTTCTTCTAATAATATTTTCATTATTTTTAATTGAGATATAATTATGGATAGTGTATGGTTTTAAAATGTTCACTTCAGTGAGTTTTGGTAAATGATTATACCTGTGTACCAACACCTCAATCAAGATATAGAGCTCTTCCGTCACCCCAGAAATTTTCCTCATTTTTCTAGTTAATCTCTTATCCTCAACAGAGGCAACCACTGTTACTATCCCTATAGATCATATTACTTTTTTAAATTACAAATTTGTATCACTACCATGTTGGTCACAGTGGCATAAGTCTTTGCATATTGTTAATATATTTTCATTGTTCATATTTCACCTACTTTTCTGCATCCCAGATTCTTGGTATTTTAAGGTTAAGTCTGTTGGGTAATCTACTGGTCTAGCTCATAGCCTCTTTGAGGAACAGTATAGAAGCTATGCTGAACACCTGGCCACACATTATGGTTAAGTAATACAAGTAACCAGGTCTTTTGGAATATACTATTGAACAATACTAAAATATTTAAAAATTAATTTTTAGAATCCCTTTATTTTAGAAACCTTTATGTTTCCATGGTGAGTCATATATATTAACCTTAATCCTCATTAGCCTTTGGAAGTAGGCTGGGGGATGTGATATTCCCAATTTATAGGTGAGAAAAAGATTCAACAAAAAATAATTGACTAATACAAAATCCCTTTCCCATTAACCAGTAGTTCCAGGGCTACCTTTTTATTCTTTTGCTTATTCCACTATTCTGGGCTGCATTTACACAAGGAAACAGTCAGGTTGTATTCCAAAATTTAATTTCCTTGTTTCTTCTCCGAAAGTTCATAGGTTGCCCATTCCTTCCATCCTCCAGCATAGTGTTGAGCACTAAAAACATACATCAAATAATTAGTGCTGTAACCATTTTTCCTGCCTTACAGCACAAGGTTCAGAGGAACTTTCAAGATAAGATGACTTTAGAGATTTAGCAGTGCAATGACTTTTCACCATAATATTTACACTTGAAGCATATTTAAAGGACTGTAGAATGAAAAGTACAGTCAGTCTGTAAGAATCTGCACTTATCCTTCCGTTAATATAGTAAGTATGAAATTCTTCAGTAGACCAATAAAAATATACCTACAAAACACTGCAATACATATCCTAAACCCATTTTTATCCTTAAGCTACTTACCTGTTAAAGCCCAGAGATATTGCTGTGACCACAGCCTTCTTGCTTCTTACTCCAGCTAAACAAGAAAACACTAGATTGTCAGATTTGGATGGCTTTATTTCTTTGTACTTCTCTTTGAAGTCTTTTGGGTTCATCTGTAGAGCGTCGCCTACATCATCCACTGTAAGAAAATGTTAAGAATTTCAATTAAATTTTAGATACAGTCAATTACTGGATATATGTTTTCCTAACAAATCAGGTTAAAACACATCACTTACATGGTATATTGATGGACCCGGGGATTTTTCCATACTCATGAATTTCCCATGGCTCTCTCACATCAATTAACATAATTTTTTTGGACTTCAGGAGGTTTTTAAGTTCCATGTAAGTGACATCTTGACAAATAGTGGTACAAAAATTGTGGCAGCTTCTTTTTATTGACTTCAAACCTGGAAAGAATAAAATAAATTAGCTATCTTCAAAATGATACTGTTATTAATATCTGGAAAGAGTAAGTCAAAGGAGTTTTCCCCATTGTTCAAGTCAGCTCACCATGTCAATCTTTTGATTTGACTTCTTATGTAAAGTCTCATTTTTATAGTGGAAAGAACAGGGGTTTTAGAGTCAGATAAATCTAGGTTCAAATCCTGGCCTGCCCACTTAGCTCTGTGACCCTAGGCAGATTACTTAAACTCTGTGGGAGAGTAAAATCAAATAATATTATTTAACTTAGAGTTGCTGTGAGGTTTAAATAATCTATATGGTACACAGTATCTTTTCACCTTTCCTTCATGATTTATGCACATTGTTCCTTCTGAAGAGAACCTTTCTCGTCTACCTGGCACTCTTTAAACCTCCTTTACAATCGTGTTAAATGTCACTTACCACGTCCCCTTTGATCAAACACTTCCACTTCTAGGTATCTATTCCTGGAAAATACTTATACACAAAGAAGGGTGTACATATACACAAAGAAGTGTGTACAATGATAATTATTGAAGAACTTTTAATAATAGCAAAGAAATTGGAAACTAAAATATCCATCAATAAGGAACTAGTTTTATGGTAATTCATAGTTATGGGACGTATGCAGTGGTTAAAAGAGTTTTATGTACTGCCATGAATACCTAAGCTTCTGAATACCTAAGTGAGAAAAAAAATTACAGAAAAGTAAGCACAGAAGATCACATTATATATTAAATATTCCCCAGTGGCTCAGCTGGTAAAGAACCTGCCTGCCAATGCAGGACATGGAAGAGACACATGATCCCTGGGTTGGGAAGGTCCCTGGAGAAGGAAATGGCCACCCACTCCAGTATTCTTGTGTAGAAAATTCCATGGACAGAGAAGCCTAGTGAGTTACAGTCCATGGTGTCACGAAAAGTTGGGCATAACTGAGTGCGCACACACACATAGATTTGTTTGTTGTTTAGATGCTAAGTCATGTCTGACTCTTGTGACCCCACTGACTGTAGCCCACCAGGCTCCTCTGTCCATGGGATTTCCCAGGCAAAAATACCCAGATTAACATTTCCTTCTCTGGGGGATCTTCCAGACCCAGGGATTTAACCCTCATCTCTTGCTTGGCAGGCAGATTTTTTACTGCTGAGCCACCTGGGAAGCCTGTACATTTATTTATGCATACTCATATCTGGGGAGAGTATTCAAAGGGGTGTGCTTTATTGTTTGTTTTAATATAATTTTTGCTTTATTGCTTAATGAATATAATCATGTATTACAAGTTGTTGTTGTTTTTTTTTTTTTAATGAAACAGGCATCTTTTCTCTAACACCTCTAACTCCATCCTTTCCAATGCAGTCTCACTCGACTGGATTGTGAATGGTGATGGTTTATTTAATTTCCTGCAGTGCCAGAGACCTAGGTTCAATCCCTGCGTTGGGAAGATCCCCTGGAGAAGCGAAAGGCTACCTACTCCAGTATTCTGGCCTGGAGAATTCCATGGACCCATGGGGTCAGGTCACAAAGAGTCAGACAGGGCTGAGCGACTTTCACTTTCACCCCCAACTGGTGAAGTAAACTGTATCCCAGCAGGATGTCTGTCAGATTAGGAGCTCAGTAAATGATTGCGGACTGAAGGTAAAACCAGATAACAGAATTTGTGTGGAGGACACATTTTCAACTACATAGGCTGTGCCAAGAGTTACAAGGGAATAACGGGCGGGGAAGTGTTACGCTGGATCCTGTTACCTTAACCCACAAAAGTTGTTGTCAAAGGAGAGGCAGCATACTAAGCAAGAGAGAAGGGACAGGAGGGCTGCTCCGAGTTCTAGACCACCTCCTGCACCAACCGCTTTCGCTTCTCTGGCTTCTGTTTGGCCAGCTGTGTTACTATTACAGGCCGAACGTGCTAACTAGGTTTCATCAACCCGTGAGTGCTGCTCTCTAGCGGGTCACAAGCAAAACTCGCAAGACTGGGCTTCTCATTGCGACTCTACCGGGCAGGAACTGGCCACTCGACTCATTTCCCTGAGTCGCGAATTGACCTTCATTGCTCAGTCAAGCACCATACCTTTCTAACTGTTCACACCAGAGCCCCCTGAAGTCTTGTGTACCCCTCTCTCTGCGTCTGCCGAGAGGAATCCCGGACCCCGGGAGCCCGGAATCTGAAGGAACAAGGGCTGTAAGTGGGTGTTACATTCCCAGGGGCCAAGTGTACTGGGTCTGACTTTGCACTGTAAGCCTTAAAGAAGCAAACACTGCCACGAACGCTATCCTTTCCCAGGGGCCCGCGGTTAGGCGTCCTTCCTTTTCCCGGGGACCACTGAGCTCACCCCAGAGCGCAGCCTCCGCAGACCCGAAGATCGTCCGGCAAGTACTCCAGGGCAGCAAGCGCTGCAGCACCATCGCTGCTAACTACTTCGTTCTCCTGCTCCTTCACTTCCGGCCGCGCGGCAAGTGGTGCCGGGTTCTCGAGCGCCCTCCAGCTAGGCGCTGGCCGAACCCGGAAGTGCCACTAGGAGTAATCGCGAACAGAAACGTGCCGTGCTTTAAAACTTAAAATGTTAATGGGAAAGAAACTGAGGGTTGGGAAGAAACTGAGGTATGGGCTTGTTTTTTTTTTTTAATTTTAATTATTTTTTTTTAAGGAGAGGCAAAGTTTAAAAGTGAAAAGAAAATATAAAGAAGTCAATATTTAAAGGTATAAAGTAAGAAATTCCTCCGATTTACTTCAAAACAATATTCTTATGTATTGGATTAAAGCAAACTTTAATACATGGACACTTTGCTAAGAATCGCTCTTAACTCCCATAGCTGATTCAACTGATGTCAGTATTAAGATAATCTCATCTTTTCCTCACTCATGATGATAGTTGACTATATTTGATGATAACGTGAATGTGTTGGATGGTTGGATGGCATCACCGACTTGATGGACATGAGTTTGCACAAGCTCTGGGAGTTGGTGATGGCCAGGGAAGCCTGGTGTGCTGCAGTCCCTGGGATGGCAAAGAGTGGGACACGACTGAGCGACTGAATGAACTAAGTGTGTGAGTTTGCAATTGCTAATGTAACAATTATCACAAATTTATTGACTAAACACAATTTTATTATGTACGGTTTTGTAGGTCAGAAGTCACTTGGTGAAAATTAAGCTGTCAGCAAGCCTGTGGTCCTTCTGAACGCTACAGGGGAGAATTTCTGTACTTAACTTTTACATCTACTGAAGGTTGCCTGAATTCCTTGGCTATTTTTCCCTTTCTCCATCTTCAAAGCCAGCAGTTTGTCATCTTCAGATCTCTCTGTGACTGATCTCTGCTTGTGTTGTCACATCCACTTCTCTTCTTCTAACCTTTTTGCTTCTCTTTCATAAGGAATTTTGTGATTACAGTGAGACCACTGGGATAATCTTAATCATATGTGCAAAATCCTTTTGCCATGTAAGCTAACATATTTATAGGTTCTTGGAATTAGAACACATTGTATGCAGTTGTGGGGAGAGCATATTAAGCTTGTTGGATAAAGTTTCTTATTACCTTGTTTTTAATTTACACTGAACTTGATTTATTACCTTATTTTTAATTTATTCTCAATTTTGTTTCCCAAGGATAATGAAAGCCATATTAACTGCAAATTGGTTCACAGTGAAAATTTTAAAAATAAGTTTCCAACTGGCATTATTAAAGTATGAGTCCAATGAATAATTTCATGAAGGGTGTACTTTTAAATTATTCAGTTTTAATATTTTAATAATAAAACCACTTCAGATATCTATACCAATGACATAACTTACAATTATGTTTTTTCCAAGTCATTCAGAGTTTAACTGTAGTATCTGTGTAATCTACCTTGTGGATTGACTTTGAACTAAGATGTCATTAAATACTGTAGATTCAAGTACTCTCTGTAGCATCCCCATCATAAACCACAAGTGGAATGGACACAAATATGAAAACAATGTACTTGACTTCAGTGAGTCACATTTAACCTAATTTATACTTCTGCAAGAACATATATTACTAAACAATTCTTTTTCAAGTGTTCATGACTACTTATTTGAGAAATATTTTTCTGTAGGCTTTTTTTTCCTGAAGAGATGAATTTGTCCTTCTGTAACCAGCACAGTGCCAAACAGTTTACTTAAGAGGCGTAGAGCAAAAAGATTTTGTCAAACAGAAGTACCGATCATTGCTCCTTGAATAAATGTCCCAAGTTCTTCCTCAGAGTTAGTGTGAAGGAAGGAAGTAAGGCTTAAAGTGGGATGCAAGGGAGAGAAATCATGTAACTTTTCTGGGAAAGGTCTACTAGTGCTGAGTTGATATGAATCATTCATTCTCAAACAACTCATTCTATTTTTTGCCACAATGCAGGTGAAAGACAACTGGAAACTAGGGGATTTTTTAAGAGACTTAGCACTTTTCCCCTTTCTTTCTAAATCCACATCAAGCCCCCACATTTTAGACAAGTCACTGAAGAATTAGGAAATCTATTCCCTTTCATGCAACATTTTTTCAAGAGTTTCTATCAAAACTTGTTTTGACGCAGCATTTTCACTGATAATCACTTATTGAAAATACCTGCACAAGGAGTCAAAGATAAATGTACACCAACAGGGGGCTGATAGGGAAAAAAATGATACATCCATTCACTGGACTTTTAAACAACCAGTAAAAAGAATGAGGTTAGTATGGTGATAAATCCAAAATATATAATCAAGTGAAAAAGAAAAATCAAGTTGTAGAATAGAAGGTAGACCGTAATCTAACCTGACCATGATCTCTTTTAACAAATGGTAATCATCTAAAAATGTAGTACAAATGCATATCATGTGCAGAGACAATTCCTGAAACTATAGACAAAAAACAGCAAATAGAGGAGAGGAAATGTTACCTCTGAGGAAGAGAATGGGAATCTGGAAAGGTGGAAAAGATGAGGAACTTTATACCAAACTCTCATGTATTACTTTTATAATAAAGAATGTACTTTTTAAAACACTTGATAAAAGCTTAATATATGTATAGCCTATAACTTAGCAAAGTACTCCATACATTTCCAGACAGAACAATGATGGTAAAATTAAGATATTTAACATTATTTGAAATGTATACACAGCTGACCTTAAGCACATTTATATTTCTGTTTGATGTTTTGTCATAATGTCTTGACAACAGCAATGAAAATATACTTACTAGGTATTATTTAAAAATAATTTCCTTCCTTTGGAGCATCCATCAAATAGTAAATTTTACTTTAACTGAAAAGATAAATAATTTGAAGAACATCAGAAACAAAAAGTGTTAGACAATTTCCCTTAACTCATGTAATTTTGAAATGGAGATTGCAATCTCTGGAGATTTGGGTACATCTGCTGGAAATCAAGATAACTTTGGAAATTTGTCATTTTCAAGAAAAATTTAGGTATTGAATCATGATTTGCATAATTCCTAAGTTTCTTTTTATGAGTGAGAACTTAAAATTCCATATTCTGATTCAGTCCCCTCCTTTTTTTCCTGGTAAATTGGATTCCAGTATATGATATATTTTAAAAACCCCTTTGATTATAGTGCACTTTATTTTTAATTTTGGCTGTGCTGAGTTTGTTGCTGTGGGCTCTTCTCTAGTTGAAGCGAGCCAGGACTACTCTTTAGATGCGGTTAGTGGGTTTCTCATTGAGGTGTCGTCTCTTGCTGCCGAGCAGGGGCTCTAGGGCACATGGGCTTCTGGTTCAAGCTGCTCCCGGTTCAATAGCACAGGTTCAATAGTTGTGGCCAAGGTGCTTAGTTGCTCTGTGGCACGTGGGATCTTCTTTGATCAGGGATAGAACCAGTATCTCCTTTACTGAGCAGGCAGATTCTTTACCACTGAGCCACCTCAGCGTCTCTTAGCATTTACCCATAACTAGAGTGGATGTTTGGTATATCATTCAAACAAAATAGTTTTCAACCAACTACTTTTATTAGACATATGCAAAGGGCAAAACACTGAATAATCGAGCTTCAAAGAGATTTAGGTATAGGTCAGGAAATTTTCAAATAAAGAAGAGAGAACGGCAGGTAAGGCAACAATAATGAAAAAAGCAAGAAAACATATGATATCAGATGCGACTTAACAGCACGGAAGAGTGTGAAGGAGGGAAGTCGGAGGCAGTCTGGGCAGCAACAAGTGGGACTTAAACCCGACTCCGAGAACACGGGAGGTGGGCAAACTCCAAGCCCTATCGGGATCCAATTAGGAATCTATTTACGTTACCCTAAGATTAGCTGGGGTCTACTTACTCCTGCATAAGCAGGGGAAGCAGGTGCGACAGCAGCCCGCAGAGCGCGGGGTCCACTCCCAGCTCCGGGTAAGCCGCCACGCGAGGGGCGGTCCCAACTGGTCCGGACGTGGGGGCGGGCACAAGAGGCCCCGCCCCTGCCGGCGGGAGGGGGCGGCTGCGCAGGCGCAGGTGCAGTCTCCTGGGTTGTAGACGCGGCCGCTCGGCCTGGCAGGGTGAGTTGGGGGTTCGGTGCTGGGTCGCCTCAGTTTTTCCATCTTCGTTTACGTAACCCTCGCCCCTTGTGGCTTGACGGGCTTGGGAGAGAACCCTCCCCCCGCCCCTTTCTCGGTCCTTGGGGTGCCCAGGTGGTGGCCGAGGGCCATGTGAGAGTGGCGGAGCCGGCTGGGTGTCGGGGCGGCAGCGGGAGGAGCCGGGGAGGCGGGACGGGAGAGGGGCCGCCTCACCTTGACCTAGGGGCGCGGCGACCTAGCGACCTTCCGGCCGCCCTTCCGCGTTCAGTCTCGCGGCGCATTTTCTCTTCGGGAATTTGGGATGTTTTTGTTAGAGACCAGAGAAAGCGTCTGGCAGCGTCGTGTAGTATTAGGAACCCTGGAGATGGACTGCCTGGGTCCAGATCGCCATCCACCACTTACTGGCTCCTGGCTTCTGCAAGTCACCTAACTCCTGATGTCTTTCTTTAAGTGTAAAATGGGGGAAATAATAGTAACCTATCTCATAAAGTGGTTGGTGGTTGGGAGAATGAAGTGGGTTAAAATCACTGAAGTGCTTAGAACCGAGTGTGGTGCACGAAAAAGTAAGTTCTGGTCATCTTTTTGAGCCTGGTATCCTTTTGAACCTCTGAAAGGAGAATTTTTGTCCCTTTCCTCCCTCCCCTTGCACCCTCGCAGAAAGTAATGGCCCAAGAGTAGGAAAATAATTTTTTTTTTCTTTCTTGAGAATATGGGCTTCTACATGCATGGCCTTAAGAAAAAACATAAACAGTTTAGTTGCACATGCTACATTATGGACAGATATTAGGGTAATGCAGAAGTTGGAAGCTGGAAAGTTTTATTAGGAAACCACCTGAGAAAAATGGCCATAATTTATTTGTGCTGAAAAGACTTAACATAGCAGGCCTGAGACTGCTGTCCTTAAAAAGGTCTGCTTGCACGGTTAGCCCTTGCTTGGCTTGCCTGGGGACAATATGGTTTATTCTGTAGGACATGGTTTATCCAGAAGTTACTAGCCCCCATAAAAATCCTGCACCTGTGAGTGTGTAATGGGCTTCTGTGAGCAGAAACATTGCATAGACATTACTTATCAGGGGAAGGATGTAGGGTGTTTGACCGCTCCTGGGAGGGACAGAATGGTAAGAAGCCTGCATTTGGATTGCTCTAGACTTCACCTGTGTCTTTTTCATTATGATAGACTGTGTGTTCACACTACATTGCTGCAATAAACGTTAGCCATGAGTACAGCTATATGCTGGGTCTTGTGAGTCCTTGCAGTAAATCTCCACATGTGAGAGTGATCTGAGAACTCCCCAGACACATTATTGATGATATGCAATATGTGAAGCTCTAATAATTGGAATTTTTTGGTAATAATTAGACTTTAATTTTGTCTCTTTCTACTCGAAGGGGAATTGAAAAAGAAACCTATACAGATGAGTGACTGCTAAGTAGTAGGTTACTGTACAAAATGACTCTATGTTTAGACATATTGCATGTGTCAGAAAAACCACTGGAAATTGACTACATTGCCACATTTGAGTCAGTGTTTTTGAGAAGAGGCATAGGTCTTTTACAGAGTTTAAGTTAAGTATCTGATTCTTTTGGTTCTTCTTCCAGGATTGGCTATGCATTAATGCTCCTCTTTATCGAGAGTTTACCTGTGTGTGCTCATGTTAGTTGCACAGTCATGCCTGACTCTGCGATGCCAAGGACAGTAGTCTCCCAGACTCCTCTGTCTGTGGGATTCTCCAGGCAAAAATGCTGGAGTGGGTTGCCATTTCCTTCCCCAGGAGATCTTCCCCACCCAGGGATTGAACTTGGGTCTCTTAAGTTGCAGGTAGATTCTTTACCATCTGAGCCACCAGGGAAACCCATGAATACTGGAGTGTGTAGCCTCTCCCTTCTCCAGGGGAACTTCCTGACCCAGGAATCGAACTGGGGTCTCTTGCATTGCAGACAGATTCTTTTCCAGCTGAGCTACCAGGGATACAGTGGTTTTTTAAAAATGCACTAACTTCTATCTAAAACCTTTAGAATTTGAGTTTTTATGAAATATAAGAGACTTCTTAAAAATATATTTAGAGGTAAATAACAGCATGAACAAAAAAATAAATTCTGTGTGATATTATACAACTTTGCTGTTGAAAGTGTAGTCTATGGACCCCAGCAGTGGCTTACTGTTGGGAGCTTTTTAGACCAGCAGACTCTCCGGTCCTGTGCTAGACTTGAATCAAAATCCACACTTTGAGAGGCTCTTCAGTGTGACTAATATGCACTGTCCTGATCTCTTAAAAAAGCCAGGGTCTTAGGGAGGTGAAACACTATTCTCCATTTCTTGTGGGAAGAACAGCTGTCGATTATAAGATACTGACATAACCAATTGAATCCTTATTCAAAAAAGCAGACGTTTTAGGTTAGCTGAAGAAATTAGAATATGATAAGATAGTATATTAGGGAATTACTCTTAATTTTCTTAGAAATGATAATGATGTGACTGTATAGGAGAATCTCCTTAAGAAATATATGTTGTCTGCAACTTCTAAATAGTTCAGCAGAAACAGATGTACTCACATACATGTGTAGTTATGTCTGTATGCACATTGATATTGAGATAAAACAGATGTGGCAAAATGTTCCAGATGTGGATGCTATGGTGTTCATTATACTGTTGTTTCAACTTACGTGAAAGTTTTAAAATTTTCATAATTAAAAAATGGGAAAAAAACACAAAAAAGGCAAGAGCTTAAAAAGTTGGAAATGGATTTCTCTCTCTGTAGTCCACTGGATTGAACGTACAGCTCAGAAAGGGTGGCTGTACTTACTGTGTGTGGCACTTGGCATCCATCCCTGGCTTGTGGCTTTTCCAGCTCCCACTGTTTCCTAGCTGGTGAAATAAGAGAAAGGGTGAGACGAGCACAGGAGTCAGAAGCGGCATAAAGTTTATTTTTTTTTAATTCACCTGGACATCATACATGTAGGGAACTGTTGGTTAAAGTCAGATGTAATGTGGCATTTGTATGCTGGTATAATAAAGATTTCTTTAGTTTCAGCTGATGGTCCCCTCTTCTCTGTTAATTTACGAGGCTCATTAAACTTGAAGTCACTTCCATTCTAATATGCAGTAAGTAAAATACATGCAGCTTTTAATTTTGAGGATTAATGTGTATTTCCCAACTCCCAATCTTTTCAGTAAATAACAGATGCGGGTGAAAGAGCCATCCAAAGCTTCCCCTGAGAAAGCAAAGAGAAGTAAGAGGCCTCCTATACCTCACGATGAAGACTCGTCAGATGACGTTGCTGGTAAATTATGATGTCTCGCATCCTGAACAGTGTTGCAGGGGACAAATCACACGTGCTTTTAATGAATAAATCCTTTGCTTTTTATTTTAACCATTTTCTGCATTACTTCAAAATCAGCTTGTCTATTTCCAAAATACCCTGTTGGCATTTTTGCTGAGATTTTGTTTATTTTATAAAGTAGCTTAGAACTGGCATCTTCTCTTGTGTGTTTCTCATGACTGTTAGAACCAAGCCCTCAAGCCAGTGAGGTTGGCTGATGACCTTGGGGGGCTTCCTGGTTTGTCTTTCTCTTTGGCCTCATGCCTTGGGTTTTAGCCTCTGAGGATTTTCCTTACTGGCTTTACCAGTTCAGTTCTCCACTTAAAAAAGAAGTTTTTAATCTGTTATTTCCACTTGGAGTGTTTTTAACTTGGACAGTATTTCAGGACAGATTGCTGTATTGAGGGAAGTCTGAATTATGTCTCTAAATATTTCTTCTGTTAATATGGTGTTCTTCAAGGGTTTGATTATTCTTATAACTCTCTTTTGCCTGTCTGCCATAGTTACCATTTTTTCTTAGAGCCTCTAAAACTCCTGTTTTCCTTTTCTTTTTGTCTGCTGTTTTCATTTTTTTTTTTTTTTTAATGTGTTCAGCAGTGTCTCTTTCTGGCTTTACCTTCGTTTTATTTATTTTTCCTGAACTCTGCTGGTCACTTCCCTTTGTGCTGCCACTTGAGCCTCAAGTGTTCGCTTCTTTTTTTGTGTTTTCCTCTCACAGCAGTGATTGCTCTGCCATTTTTGCTTTTCCTGCCTTCCTTTTTCTTATTATCTTAGCACAGAATTCGGGGCTTTGATTTTCTTTGATTACCCATCCTTTCACGTAGAGTTGCTTTTCTTGGGCCAGCTCGTTTTAGAATATTTGTGTAAGAAGAAGGGCCAGAGCACTGCTGAGACCTCACTGTTGAGTTGGAGCCCAGTTAGCCTTTATTTCTTTCCAACTACCTGGATTATTCGGTCCTGGGCTCTTTCAGAGTCCAAGCTCTCTCTTCCTTCCAGCTGCTGTAGGAACAAGGCTGTTCTCTGCCATTATGGCTTGCTTTTTTATTTTCACTTAGTGAATGAGAAATCCCCTTCTTTCATTTCTTCTGAAAACAAAATTGGACAGAGGGGCGCTCCTGCCGCTGATGTTGCAGCACAGAGATGTAGGTTTTGTTCCGTATGCGCAAAGCACGCGTGGTTCTCTGAATCCACTGCTGCGGGGTTCTCTCCACTTCCTTCTGTGCGCACTCCTGTTTGATCTCCACTGGTGGAGTCTTCCCGTTTAATTTGTGACTTTGGGCTTCAGCTATCTCCTGGTTGCTCTGAGAATGAGCTTTGTATTTTTGTTTTCTGTTATTTTGGCCCTTGGATAGTTTTGGGGAGGAGAAAGGGGAAGTGTTGATTTTATGTCCCCATTCGCATGCTGGAAGCCCTCCTTGTAAAATTGTTATTAATATTTTTAAAATGTGAAGATTTTGATTATTGCTTTTGATTTGTGAATGTGAAACAACTATTTGTTTTTAATACATTGTTATATTTTTATTCAGGAATCTCTAGACGACCTGTTTGTCAAATGAAAATTTGACAATTATATGATTAAACAAATTGCAAGAAACTGAGGAAATTTACTTATTAATGTAGAAGGATATTTTTCACATTTCTCCTTCTCACAGAAGATAGTAAATACTGTTTAAAGACTTATAGGAAAACCTCAGACTTTTAAATTTGTTTATACTTATAAAAAGTATATGCAGTTGAGATATTTAAAAGCTAGTAAGTTTAATTTAGGAACCTGGAACCTTTTTATCTTGCATTCACTAATCTCTGAATTCATTAATAATTTCAGTTTTGTAAGTCTGAATTGTAGAGTCAGAGACTGGTTAAGTTGTACCTTGGCCGCATCTTATGCTAGAGATGATACAAAAGGTGTGTGGAATGATTTTTTACCTTAGAATTTTAAAATATAAAAACTCAAAAACAAAGTGATGACTTTTGGTAAACCATTTCTAGGTCTTACGTGGTCATTTTTATCAGTCTTTCTCTAAACAGACCTTTTTTCAATGGCGTGCATCCTTGCTGTTCAACCAAAGGACTTCAGAATTACTTCTTTTATGCCTATTCTTATAATTTGCTCTTGGTGTAAAATCAGAAGTTTTAATCTTTTATCAGATTTACATTTTATTTTTGTTGAAATTATTTATTTTAATTTGTCACATTTTTTGGCCTCAAGAAGAAAAGGAAAGAAAAATTAAGCCCAATAAACAAGAAAAAAAAAAGGAATGCTTTATATTCAGAAAGGAAAGTAGAGAACGTTGAAATGTACATACTCCTGTTTCCCTTTTCAAGGTATTCAGTCTCTGCCGTTGTTGTTTGATTTTGGCAGATAGCTGTAGGTTTGGTATTTGGGACATTTGAGGTGGAGAAATTGAAGTGTTCAGGTTTAGGAGAAATGGAAGTGTACTGAGCCCTTGGGAAACGAATATGGTTATTTGAAGAATTAAGAACATATTTGCTCATTTTGGCCTTTTGTCGCCACACAGTGCACATACTTGGAATCTGTTATAAAGGATAGTTAAGGGCCATGCAAAATATATTTGTTATTTGGGAATATTCATTAAGAATTATTCAGATAATTCTTGTTCCTGTGAATTATGCCATTGTTTGTTCCTCTCTTTTCTTTCTCTTAGCAGTGGTAAAAATAGTATCACAGCAGAGCTAGCCCATGGGAAAAGTTTTTACTTGTGTGTTTTAGGGGAAAGAAAATATGTTCAAAGTGCTTGAGGCATAGTAGCTGCTCAGTAAACAGTCTTCTTAATCTATTTATTGAACTTTAATTTTTGAACTAATTTAGATTCACAGGAAGGTACGAAACATATGCATGGAGGCCCCTATTCACCCTTCATCCAATCTCTTCTGAGTTAATATCTTGTATTTCTATCACACAGCATCAAAACCAGGAAACTGAAATGGGTACAGTCCTTAGAGCTAGTTCAGGTTTCCCCAGTTGTACATGCATGTGTGTGTGTGTGTGTGTGTGTGTGTGTAGCTTAATAACATGTATAACTTTCTATAACCAGCACCATCAAGGTACTTGACTACACTCTGGCCACTCTGAGTGCTGCTTACTTAAAGACATGCCACTGCTCTCCATCGAAAGCCCCTGGCAACCACTAATCTGTTCTCCAACTCTATAATTATGTTATTTCACAGATGTTTTATAAATGGAATCATACAGTATGTACTCTCTTAAGTTATTTTGTCTTTTGAACCTTTGTGCTTTTTAGTTAATCGTATTTTAATATTGTTGACTTTTGCTTGCTGATGTTCAAATTTTGTTTTGCCTTTTTCAGTAGGTCTCACTTGCGAGCACATAAGTCACGCTGTCAGTGTGCATCATGTGAAAAAAGCAGTAGCTGAGAACCTGAGGTCAGTTTGCTTGGAATGTTTAAAAGAAAGAAGATCCTGTGATGGACAGCCAGGACTTCCTCCTGACATCTGGTTGTGCCTCAAGTGTGGTTTTCAGGTGAGAAAAGTCTCTTTTCTGTGAGAGTTTGTCTTAAATATTTTCCTTAAATGCTCGCTCTGAATTGGACTGTTGGTAGTGCTTAGAATTTAAGATAAATTTATTCTGTGTTTAGATAGAACTCTCCAAGGCCAAGCTTAGAAATGTTTTAAGGTAAAGTAAAATGTACATTGTGTTCAGAAAGTTATTTTGCATGATTTATAAGTATTTTGAAAGGGAATCCAACCTACTTGCAGTAGTTCTCATGTGTGGACCCTCCTTTACCTATTTGTATTTACTTAGGAAATGGATCCAAGCCTTTTTAAAAAATCTTTTGGGATTCATTTTCTTCTCTACGAGAAGTGATTTTTCTTTTTTTGCAGAGGAACTTCTCTTAAGACCTTAGAAGCAACTGATACCATTAACAAGGGAATTTTTAAATAAAATTAAAAGCATATATGTATATTTTTCAGTAAGAGTTATCTTTATTATCTCATATAGAAAGCCAGAAGTAGGGTCACTCCTGAGGTAGTTACTTCAGTGGAAAGAACTTTAAAAACAGATGTCTTCCATTTTTCTGCTATGCTATCCTATCCCATGGTTTCAGAATGGTCAAAGATGTTTCATGCATTATTTATCATATAGCAATCCCCAAAGGTCAGAAGGAGGGCAAAAAGTACATCCCTTCCCATACATAAAACTTTTCCAGGAACATACATTAGACTGCCCCTCATGGTACGTTGACAGAAATTGAATCTCGTTTCTTTACTTAGCTGGTGACGGGGGCTGCTGTGGTTGGTCTGAGCCTCAGTAGTTTTCAGTGGCGTTGGGTGAGGTCTGTACAGGGGAGGGGCACTGCTGGTCTGTGAGGATGCTCGGTGTCCCACTGTGCATCAGAGAAATGGTCTGGAAATTAACTTGGCTCATGCCTGTTTTTACTGTGTGGCAAGAAGTAAATTAGCCTCTCCGCAAGACGTTGAGTTTAATGAGAATCTAAATTGCTTTCTGAAACTTTTTAAAAAGGTTTAAAACAACCCCCCCCCAAATTTCAGCCATTTGTTTTTTTTTAAATCTTTTAATTCCTGTGGGGTTCACTAGTTCTTTATCAGTTAGCATTCTCATTTACAAAGACCAGTTTACTTTAACTATAGTTACAGCTAACATATCAAGGGTGTGCTGCATGCTGCTGCATGCTCAGTCCTGTCCAATTGTTCGTGACCCCACGGACTGTAGCCTGCCATGCTCCTTTGTTTGTGGGAGTTCCCAGGCGAGAATACTGGAGTGGGTTGCCATTTAAGGATAATTTAGGTTTTGATTAATTTGGAATGAACTTGCATGGAAGTCATACAAATAGTTCTCTATTTATCTTCAGGGATGTGGCCAAAACTCAGAAGGCCAGCATTCATTGAAGCATTTCAAGAGCTGGAGAGCAGAGCTTCACTGTATTATAATTAATCTGAGCACATGGATCATATGGTAAGTTAGATTTGGTTAGTACGTGTGTCCACTATAAAAAATATCTGAGTTTTATAAGGTAAGATATCTAAAGCTATTATATCAGCTTGTGCTTTTAAGCCTGAACACGGTCTATAAAATAAGAAAATTAACATTATCCATGAATATAAAATTTAAGTAAGAAAGAAATTTAGTCATACCTCTAGTTTTCTTTAACATTTTCTCCATACATTAAAGAAAAATTCTTGCTAGTTGATTTTGTTAAATTATAATTTCCAGAGGAGGAAAGTGTAAATTCTTCAATAGTCAGCTGGTTTGGTGTTCTCTGCAGGGGAAAGCCTGAGCATATACAGTTTGTAAAAACTTAAGGATCTCTCAATTTTAGTCCTCTTGTCATTTGGGTTGATAATTCTTCGTTGTGAAGGGGCCTATCTCATGAGGGGACAGAGTTAGCCCTGGCCTCTAACCACTGGGTACCAAGAGTAGCTTTGCCAGTTGTGATAGCCGAAACTGTCTCCCAGCTTTGCCAGATGTCCCTGGGAGTGTGGGCGGGGCAGAATTGCTCCTATTCGAGAGTCACTTGACATGCCCACATCAGCTCTCCCTTTTCCCTTTCTTTTCATGTCCAGTTCGTTCCTGCCTGTACCTGAAAGTGTATAAATCTGTTCATTTCTCTCTCAAGCCACTGCATCTACCCAGATCTCCCTCTATTCCTAATGCCATCCAGTCTGACATTAGACAGAGTGATATTTTTAAAATGTAAATTGGATCATGGCAACCCTTGCTTGAAAACCTCTCATGGCGCTCCATTATGCTTAGGATAGGTGACCCAGACTCTTAATTTGAACACTAAGGGCTCTGTATGAACTGTCCCCAGTTACGTCTGTAGATGTATCTCATTTCTCTTGCCTCACTGTATGTATTTCCCTTACCCCTTAATTTAAAGACAAAAGCAGATAAGTACTAACTTTATTACTTGATGTGCAAAACTACTGAACATGTTTTCATAATATTTGCTTAAATTTATTTTTTTAGGTGTTATGAGTGTGATGAAAAATTATCAACACATTGTAATAAGAAGGTTTTGGCTCAGATAGTTGATTATCTCCAGAAACATGTTTCTAAAACACAAACAAGTAAGTTGGCAGCAGTTGCTAAAGAAATTTGTATTAAAGTATAATGCTTTATAATTCTTACAAAGAAATAATACATTTATAAAGAGTACTTTGAATTTTAGTGTGACCTCTCAGTATGAGTGCTATGAATTCTTAGGTAGCAATTTTGTGATGTTATCTTGAGTTGTACTTACATAACTAATAATGAGTAGGTGGAGAGGATAGTTACTGGATTGTGGACTTTGGAGTCATATGGTGCTGAATTTGAATTTCGGTTCCACCTAAATAATTTAATTGTCTGTGTGACTTCAACTTCGTATTTGTATGATAATTCTGTCAAGTGGGATTGTTGTAATGCTTAGACATATTCTCTAAAGATTAGGAAGTAATGTGTTTAAAAATACTTGCATAAACCTCGACACATATTTATGAAGTGATGTCTGTTATTTGTTATCATTATAATGCCATCCTGACATTCACTACCTGGAGTTAGGCTAACCTGGCAGATTAAGGGCTCAGTTCCCAAAAGATTGCCCTCACATCAGACACCATTCTCAGGTGTTCTCAGGCCCCCTGCATTTCTGACCAACCGGCCATCAGGGTGCCCACTACCCTCTTAGTTCAGTCATTGATTGAAATGACCCAGAACTTAGGAAAGTGCTATGCTTATAATTACAGTTTCAATGTAGCAGCAGCAGCAGCAAAAAAAGACACAAATCAGGACCCACCAAAAGAAAAGACATAAGCTGAGATGTGGGAGGGTACCAGACATGAAGTTTTTGTATCTTCTTCCTGTGGGGTCAGGATGCATCGCCTTCCCAGCCCAGTGATGTGTCAGTACACCCAGGGTATTGTTAACCAGAGAAGCTCACTGGAGCTTTGGCATCTGGAGTTTTTAGTAGGGTTTCATTGTATAGGCGTGGTTGATTGAATCACTGGCCACATGATTTAAGTGAGCCTCCAGTATCCCAACCCTCTAATCACTCATTTGCTCTTTCTGGTATGGCTGGCCCCCGTCCTGAGTCATCTCATTAGTGTACACCCTCTAGAGTCCCACATGAATAAAAAAGATACTTTGCTAACATAAACTATCAAGAGTGGTGTGAGGGGCCCACCCTAAGTAAAATAGATTCTCCAGTCACTCTGGAAATCCAAGGATTTAGAGAGGTCTTCTCAGGAACTTGGGACAAAGAGCAGCCAAATTCTTTATTATGGAAGTGATGTATTATATATTGTACTTTCTTATCTAACATATAAGCAATATGTAACACATGTTAATATATGTTAAGAATATATAGAGAAGCAGTTTCTTCAATCAAAAATGTTAAGTGCCTACCACTTAATACTTTATTTGGTATGAAGTGGTAAAAACAGTTTTAACTTGTCTTCATGGAGTGTAGGGCATACAGAGAGAGACAACATAACTCACACGTAACTTCTGATAAGTGCAACAAAGGAAAGGAACAGATTGCAGTGACAGGTGGTCTCATGGTCACAGTGATCAAGAAAGGTTTACATGGCTGGAGTCTGGTTTGCTGGGAGAGAGCAGAATGTGATGACGTTAAGATACGGTTGTCAGGTCATGAAGGATAACGTAGGGAATTCCATAGTAAAGAATTTTTATTTTATTGGAAAAGTCGTGGAAACTATTAAAGCGTTTTAAGCAGAAATGTAGTAGTCATTCCGTCTTTTTAAAAATAAAGATCACTCTGCCAAATGGAGAATGGACTGTTGTGGAAGAGGAGTGGAGGTGGGGAGATCCGTAAGGAGGTTATTGGGGTAGGGCAGGTGAGAGATGAGGGGTTCTGGTGGAGAGTGGTGGGCTAGGTGTGATGAGTGAGGGAGAGGAGGAGGCCTCAAGTACAGATCTCAGGATTTGGTATAACAAGGCGAATGGGGGTAAATGGCCATGATAATTTTGAAATGCCTTTGGAGCAGGAATTGAACTGCTTAGTAGGTGGCCTCAGAAACTGAAAAATTATATAAAAGTATAGTTTTCAGCTGTGTTTTCTGTAGCCCAGTAGAGAATGATTTTCTTGGGTTTTTTTGAGGATGATTTTTGTTAGCTGTTGCTCTGAGACAGTAATGGTGGAAACGCTGGAGGAGGAGCTGGAGGAGGTAAACTCAGGTGCTTGGGCAGCAGAAGAGACGATTAATTTTATCACCCACTGATTGGAAAGTATGGTGGTTGTAGGTATTTAATACTTAGAGAGCAGATGTTGGTCTTGATGGCTGTCTCCTGAAAGCTGCACATTACTTTTGTTGGCCATAAGAAGAAATATACGGACAGGATGGCATGGGCGCCAAAAATACAGTTGTGGAAATTATTTCCTCTGGATTTTTTATGTTAGAGCTTCCTTGAGGTTAAGGATAAAGACAGTCTGATTCCATTGAATTTTACAGATTTCTTGTGTACTTATTATCACAAAGGATATTGTAAGGTAGGGAGTGTGGAATGGTATGGGAGAAAAATCATGGGGGGGTTTGGCATTCAACTCTGACTCTTTTCAATCACTAGCTCTGTGACCTGGTGCAGATTATTGTTTATCTGAGTCTCATGTTCTTTTATTTCTTTTCTTTTTTAAAAATATTAAATTTATTTATTTAGTTGGCTGCTCCAGGTCTTACTTGCGACATGTGGGATCTTTAGTTGCAGCATGTGAAGTCTAGTTCCCTGACCAAGAATCAAACCCAGGCCCCCTGCATTGGGCATGTGGAGTCTTAACCAGTGGACCACCAGGAAAGTCTTGTCTGAGCCTCATTTTCCTCAGCACTTTATCCATCTTTCCCATGAGAGGAGAGGTTGCCAAGACTTTTCTTAAGGTTTAAGGTGTGAAATTTTTTAAAATGATGATGTAATTCAAATAGAATTTATATTCTGAGTGATGTTCACATAGAGTCCTTCAGAAATTCAAAGAGGAATACAGTGTTTATTTGAACTCAGTAGGAATCACGCATGAGTGGGTGAGCTGGCTTCCAAGTTGGTCCTTAAAGGATAAACCTTGGACAGGTAGAGAGAAGGCATTTCAGGTGGTGAGAAGGAAGCGCTAATGTAAGCTTTAGCTGTGTTTATGGAGCCAGGGTAGCACTTGAAATAGGGGAAACAGGTTCTGGAAGGAGTTTGAGAGTGTGTAGAACCTTTAAAGTCAGGGAGAGACATAGTTCTGAATTCAGGGTTTCCAGAAGTTCTAGGCTAAAATGTTATTATCTCAGTGTTCCAAGTTTCAGTAGCTTTTGGGCAAGTTTGATTTAAAATAAGATCCCTTGGCATTCTAGAAGTAAGTTTTTGGGAATAGTAATATTATTATAAAATACTTTACAGATCAAATATGGAAGTTGCTATTGAGGTTTGTAAGAATGCTGGATATGATTATACAGCTATTTTAAATGATAATCATGCTGCTGCTGCTGCTAAGTCACTTCAGTCGTGTCCGACTCTGTGCGACCCCATAGACGGCAGCCCACCAGTCTCCCCTGTCCCTGGGATTCTCCAGGCGAGAATACTGGAGTGGGTTGCCATTTTCTTCTCCAATGCATGAGAGTGAAAAGTGAGAGTGAAGTCCCTCAATCGTGTCTGACTCCTAGCGACCCCATGTACTGTAGCCCACCAGGCTTCTCTGTCCATGATATTCTCCAGGCAAGAGTACCGGAGTGGGTCGCCATTGCCCTCTCCGATGATAATCATGAAGATTGTGGAAATGTAAAAATGTCTGTATATGGGAACTCAAAAAAACTATGAAACCATATATATTGTGTTTTAAGTGAAGGGATAAGAATGACTTAAAAGGAGCCTTTTTATATTTTAAGTAAAAGTAACTACTGAGAGGAAAGCCTGTGCCTGTACGGTAAACGTGTTTTTAAGTTACATGATGCCTGGGCTCGTTTTACATCTGAAACATCTAGTTCAGCCTCTCTGCTCAGTGAATCTCAACTTTTGTTCCCAGTAGCTCTTTAGACTCTTGTCAGTGTTTCTCATATTAGAAATTAAAACTAAAAAAATTAGAATGTTTTTTAATTTTACTGAAAAATAGCAGTAATTCTATGACATGTTAACACAAATATATTTTTAGGGCAGAGAACTGTTTCCAGAAAAACACAAACCTAATCAGTGGCATTGTTTTACATTTTTACAACTCTCTTGAATGTCTGGCTTAACAGAAACAGCTGGATTCTCATAGCTACTTATGCATCCAATCTGTTCTGATATCACATGGCATGTAGCTGCTGGAAAATGACTTTGTATAATTGAGAATGAATGAAAGTTAAAAAACCAAATAACATCTTGGGCTTATTACGAAAATACCGTTGAGCTTAAGGACGCTCCAGAGATGGAGGTTTTTCTTCAGATCCACTTGGAGAACTGCTGAACTAGCACATTTCCGTCCTTGTAGTTTCTGCCTTCCATCTTTCTTGCCTGAATGCTCAGCTCGGATCCTACTTCAGTGACACTTTCCCAATCCTATTTTTTTATCTCGTCTCTATAGCCTACATTATAATCTTAACACTCGATTTTGTGGTGTTCAGCTTTTGTGTGTATCTGTGTCTGATTTATACAGCTGTACATGTCTTGAGGAATGTACCCTGGCTTACGTTCTTTCTGATTCTGATAGAACTGGGCAGTAAATGCTGTTGAATTGAGCTGAATTCTTGTATTTTCACCAAAACACCCCTGAATATTATCAAATTATTTGTTCATTCAGTCTTTTAATATAGCTGAGTTTCTGCCTTGTGCCAGAAACTGTGCTGGATGTTGGAGATACAGTGGTGCATGAGACAGATCTGTTTCTCAGTTCCTGCAATTATTGATCTTTTAGTCAGTGAGGGATATTGACAAGTCATAATTATAATTGCTGCTTAAATAGTGCTATGATGGAGCAAGTACAATGGACTATGAGAACACTTTGGAGTGGTGTCTAACCTGGATAGAGGATCCAGGGAATTTTTATTTAAGAGATTTCTAAGCTGGGAGCTTAAGAACAACTAAATATTAGCTAAGCAGAAAGGGAAGGGGAGCTAGCTTA